AATTTCTCTCAATCCAGCTCTGGTTGTGCGTGTGTGTGTGTGTGTGTGCATAAGCCCTAAGCATATTTATACGGTTTATGTAAATGCACACAGATATCTCTTATCACACGCAGCTATTTTAATATTTTATATTGTTTGAGGAAAAAGGCAAGCCAGACGAAAGGAAAATGAAAAACAATAAATTTTGCGGTATTTAACAGAAGCAATGAATGATAAAAATTTGCAATTTGTTGTTGTTTGGGAAAATACACTCGGTTTCGCCTCTCAAATATTAAAGATTAGAGCCAGGTGATAACCCATTAAAGATAATCTTTCAACAACGACAGCGGACAACGCACACAGATCTTGATAGACAGAAGCGACAGCAACAACAACAACAACAACTACAATAACAACAACAACGAGAAAAGAAAAGAGCCAACAGTGTGTACATCATTCGGATAGACAAGTGGATAGACTGAGGCGTGTCCAGGTTTTCGTATTCAGTTAAGATCACGCGTAATTTGGGCACAACATGCCACTCGATCCGCAAATGGTGACGCGTGCGGTTGTTCTCCAGCAACACTTCGATCCCAGCCACTAAAAAACAAGCCCAACCGAACCCCAGCTAATTGCTCGTGATAGAGCTGAAAATTAAGAACTATTGTCGTGTGTGTTTGTCTCTGCCGGAAGAGTCCGATGTGCTGCTGAAACATCCGTGAAATAGCATCCAGAGCATCTAATCAAAATCAAAAAGATGGTGCAGAGCGAGGAGCGCATTGCGGAGCTGGAGCCACAGTCGACGCAGGACGTCGAGGCGCCTTCGCCCCGTGTGTCCAGCATTGAGCAGGAGCAGCTGGAGCAGCTGGAGGAGGAGGAGCGACACATAGATGCCGCTGCCAAATTGCTGAACAATGGCAACGTACATGGCGACGAGGCGGACAAGAGTGCCCAGGCCCGCATTAAGGCCAAGTTAAAGAAGGAGAAATCCGAACAGGATCGCCTCATGACCGAGGAGATAAACAAGCTTCTAAACGATATGCCGCTGGAGAAGAATGTCACGTGCGGATTTTGGCTCTTTCGCGGCGCATTCTTTCAGCGGTGAGTGGAATAATTGATATTCCTTTTATCTGACCCCTAATTGTTCTCCGTCCTGCAGCTTTGCCAATCAAACGGCCTACGTTCTGCTCTATGGCATTGTGGGCTGCATCTTCTCCATGACCTATGCCTATTTCAATGGCACCATAACTACCATCGAGAAACGCTTTAAGATACCCTCGAAAAACACGGGCATCATTTCTGTGGGCAATGACATTAGCCAGACCCTCGTCTCTGCCGTTTTGGCCTACTACGCCGGCAAGGGTCATCGGCCGCGCTGGATAGGATTTGGTGAGTGAATGAGCGGAAATCTAAAGTAGCTTCTCTTATTCATCTTTTTCTTTCTGCCAACAGGCCTACTAACTATTGTCGTATTCTGTTTAATGACCACCTCGCCGCATTTCCTCTATGGGCCCGGTGAGGATGCCTTGGCTCTGACCAAGGAGTTTGGCGCCCAGCCCGACGAAAACGCCACCCTGGAGGCAATCGAGGAGCAGCGCGCGAAGACCCTTTGCCGCCTCACCGGCGGCGGCGCCGAATGCGAGGTGGGCGAGGGTAATTTTGCACCACAGGTGCTGCTCTTCGTCGCCCAGTTCATATCTGGCATTGGCGGCTCCCTATACTATACACTCGGCGTCTCCTATATGGATGATAATACAAAGAAATCCAAGACTCCGGCCTTGCTAAGTAAGTTTCACGTACGAAATGCGCACAAGATCGCGTCTCTTATGGTTTTACGACTCCAATAAAAACCCGGGGCGCCACGCTACATGTGCCAGATAACACACTTACTCCTTAATTGCTGCAACTATCGCTTCCGTTTATAAACGCTTGATTAGACAAATGATTCAGCAAGGTTGATAAGCCTTCGAAACGATCTAAGGTTCTAAGAAAACGAAAACATTTTGATGCAGGCAAGAAAGCATCCTTCTAATGTCAGCCTATAAAGTCTGCGAGTCTACAAAGTATCTAAAGTCAATACTCTTTTCAATTTGTCTGGAATAATTAAATCCTTTTAATTCCAAAACTATCTAATGTTCTAAGAAAACGAAAACATTTTGATGCAAGCAGAAAAAACCACATTTAAATTGAAAGGAATTCAAAAAACTTTAAGGTCTGCAGATGTTTGATAATCTTTTAAATTTGTATCTAGAATACTTAAATCCTTTAGATTTTAAAACTATCTAAGGTTCTCAGAAAACAAAAACTTTGGATGCAAGCAAAACCTTGCCTTTTGAATTCAGACAAAACAGACACGCAAACAAATCGCAATATACTCTTTTTGATTAACTGAACAGAGCAATATTATATGAATAACACTCACCCTGTCTCTGCTTCAGGTCTCTCGTACTTTTTGCGAATGCTGGGCCCTGCCATTGGCTATGCTTTGGCCTCCTTTTGTCTGCGCTTGTATATTGCGCCGCAGCTGCATCCGGTTATCAACAACAAGGATCCACGCTGGCTGGGCGCCTGGTGGCTGGGCTGGTTAGTCATGGGCGGTCTGTTATCTTGCTCGGGCATCTTCTTATCGATGTTTCCCAAAGAGCTGCCCCGTGCCGCAGCCAGACGCTTGGTGGAGGAAAAACGTCGCCGCGAACGACTATCGCTGCGGCAGAAGGAGAGCGCCGAGAAGGAGAAACTCACCGTGGAGCTGGAGCCGCAATCGACAGCCGAGCCCAAGGCCTCCTTTAAGGACATGCTGGTCACCTTCAGGCGCCTGACCACAAACAAGACCTACATGTGCAACACGCTGTCGAACATCTTCTATCTGATAGGCTATACGCCCTTCTGGATATTCACGCCCAAGTACATTGAGGTGCAGTACAAACAATCGGCGGCCACCTCCAGCATGGTCACGGGCACCGTGGCTCTGGCATTTTCCGCAATTGGAGTCCTGCTCTCCGGATTTATCATCTCCAAATATAAGCCACGTGCTCGGTATATGGCCGCCTGGAATGTGATCTGTGCCGTGTTGGTTGTGGCCGGCGTCGTCACATACGCCTTTATTGGTTGTCCGGACAACGAGCGCTCCGTTATTGTGAATATTCACAATAGCGCTGTAAATGACACAGCCACGTGCAACTCGGCCTGCGCCTGCGACTATGTGCGCTACTCCCCGGTATGCGGGGAGAATAATATGACCTATATATCCGCCTGCCATGCGGGCTGCAAAATGGAGCACGTGCGCTCCAATGGCAAAAAGGTGGGTCGCAGTTGGACAAGTAATCTGTACATGGAAGTAGCATTAATCGCTTGCTCTGATTCCCTTTTAGATCTTCTATGACTGCTCCTGTATACCAGGTGCCAGAAATAGCTCCTTCAAAAGGCTTACCGCACGTGATTTGGCCTATGACAACAGCACCTGGGATCTAGCTGGAAGATCGCTGGAGAACTCAGCCTCAACGACGTATTTGGAGGTAACTTTCATATAGACTTTTCCATTTAGTAACCAGTAGAATCCAGTGTTGACCGTCAATCGGTGATTCAGTCAATCAATGAATTAATCCGTCAGAAAGAGATTTACAGATTTAGATTAGATTTCCTATCTATTGAGGATTACAAGTCCACTTCTTGTCTCTACGTGATCGCTCTGCGTTTTATTGTCAATCAGTGACTCAGTCAATCAATCAATCAGTCACTTGGCAGGATCAGTGAGAGGTTTTTAATCCTTAAAATATTATTCTTGACTCTCGCAGCAACTAGCCGCCGGCCAGGCCACGCCGGGTGCTTGTCCTGTCAACTGCTGGACGCAATTTGTCGCCTTCCTGTCGGTCATGTGTTTCCTTAAGTTTATTGGCGCCGCGGGCAGAGCATCCAATTTTCTGGTCTCTGTGCGCTGTGTGCCGGAGAAGGACAAAACAGCTGCGATGGGCTTTGGCATGATGTTGTGCTCGATGTTCGCCTTTATACCGGGACCCATATTCTTTGGCTGGATCTTCGATCGCATGTGCCTGGTGTGGGGCAAGACCTGCACCAACAAGGGCAACTGTTGGCTCTACGATCCCGAGTCCATGAGGTAAGTCTATATTCGATCTAACAATATCCAATTAATAATTCTTTCACTTTGATTCAGATATACGCTCAACTTTACGGCAGCTGTTTTTATAAGCCTGGGCGCTATCTTCGATTTTGGCGTTTGGTATTACGTTAAGGATCTTAAGATATTCGATGAGGAGGTCAAAGAAGTCGAAATGCAAATTGTGCAGCACGAAGAGGAGGTCAATGCTGAAAAGAATACCGAAATATAAGTGACTAGAATAATAATAATAAATTTAAGCTAACGCTATTGTTAAGTTATGATTGTGAGTGATTTATTGGCCTGTCGTTTAGATCGTATGTATATATATATTTATATATATATATATATACGGTTTTTAACGTTGGCGTCGGTTGGTATAATAAACTGAATTGTGGGGCGGTTAAGATCGTGTGATAAATGCCACCGTCAGGGCTCTCAGTCTGGCAAAAGACAAATGTACAGTGGTCACTCGTAAATGAGAGCTACTTGAAATTATATTTGTAAATTTATGCATAAAAGTGCCTATATTTAACAAACATCCTTTGCAATAATATCATTTTACATAAACTTCTTTTTTGTTAGTTGCACGAAATTTTTGTCAATTCTTTTACAGAAACGTTCCGTTTAGCAAGCGACCACTGTATATATGCAGCCATAGGTATTTTTATATATCAAACGCATGTCTGTATTTGAACAATTTAAAATAAAGTACATAAATGCCAGTCGACAGTGCATAAAGCATATATAGCAGCAAGATACTACACAGAACTTATCTAACAAAATTTAGAATTAACTTGGGATTAGCTTATAAATTGCAAGCATGCACATGGCTATTATCTATATAGACGTACAGTCCGAACTGCATTTTGGGCAGGAATCTCTAGTTTATAGTTTGGCTATAGCTATTGCCAAAGTGCAGTTGGACTGAGTAGTTTGACAATGGCAGATGAGGTGCATGAAGCAACTGAGTTCCTAAAGGCTCCCAAATCGAAAAGGGATGAGGGCGATCGGCTTGCAGATACCCAATGTGGCCTATTCAAGAGTCCACGACTGCAAAGGTATTAAGTGAATACGCATACATATAATATAATATACCCCATAATACCCCGTATTATAGCTGGGCAACTGAATATGTGTTCGCCGTGGTTTTCGGCATCGCGGGATGTTTCGTAGCCATGGCATTTACATATTTCAATGGCACAATTACCACGCTGGAAAAACGTTATAGGATACCCTCGCAAACGACCAGCATAATTATCGTGGGCACTGATATTAGCACAACTTTAACTTCCGGTTTGTTGGGCTACTATGCGGGTCGCGGACATCGGCCCCGATATATTGCCTTAGGTAACGGCTGACTTCGGCACGCCGAACATTCAATACTCTTTTAGCAATGTGCCTTAGAATGCGCAACTATGTGGATATATGTTATTGCTGGATAACAGCAATATATCTGGATGAACAGACAAGTTTTGGATACATTCTTCCGATATTATTGCAGTTTGCTTATATGTAAGAAACATCGTGAAACTAATAAATGCCTAGTTTGGTCACGATCTTGTTCCTCAAGCGATCGTTGCCTCGGCAACTTTATGTTATAGAAGTACCTTCTGCCTGCCCAGAGAAAAGGATCCGGATCTAGAATATATATATACTTTATGAAGTCTGAAATCTCTTGTTCTATGCGGTGCAAATCTCTTGAGAAAATCCTAATACCCTCCGCAGGGGGATTTCCAATATATAGACCCTAACTAAAAGACACACTTGCCTTTAGGTCTGGTCGTCATGGCGTTTTTTTGCGTGCTAACAGCTTCTCCTCACATCATCTATGGCCCCGGCGAGGATGCCTTGAAATTGACTCGTGAATATGTGCAAGCGGATCAGTTGAACGCCACGGATGACACACTCTGCCAGGCACGAAAATCCAGCTGTGAGCAGGAGGCCTACCTTTGGGCGCCCATAGTTTTGTTATTTTCCGGACAGTTTATATCCGGCATCGGTTGTGCTCTGTTCTACACGCTGGGCATATCATATATGGATGATAATTCAAGCAAAGCCAAGACGCCCGCAATGCTCAGTAGGTGATCTTGACATCTTGAGCCTCAGTTTGCTACTGAATTGCGTTCATTTTCTTTAACAGGTTGGTCCGTTTTCCTGCGCATGCTGGGCCCAACCTTTGGCTTATCCTTGGCCTCTGTTTGCCTGCGTTTTTATATAGATCCCCAGCTGGAGCCGCTCATTACCAATGAGGATACACGCTGGCTGGGCGCCTGGTGGCTTGGCTGGATCCCATTGACCATCATAATGCTCTTGTCTGCCTTTTTTCTATACATATTTCCCAAGGAGCTGCCCAGCGCCCGAGCTAGGAGATTAAAATCTAACGGTCATGAGTCTGGCGGCAATTCCCTAACAGAGCTCTCCCTCAGCGACCTGCTGCAGGCCGTCAAGCGGTTGGCCAAGAACAAGATCTACATTTACAATAGCATGGCCTCCATACTCTACGTTTTTGGCTACATGCCCTATTGGATGTTTACGCCCAAGTATATTGAAACCCAGTATCAGCAGTCGGCCAGCACGGCAACCATGGCCACGGGCAGCGTTGCTTTGGCCTTCTCGGCAGCTGGCGTATTGCTCTCCGGTTATGTAATCTCCAAGCATAGACCCAGTGCACGGGCAATGGCCGCTTGGAATGGCATTGTTGATATATTTACAGTGCTGGGCCTGTTGAGTTATGTGCTGATCGGTTGTGATGACAGCGATAAGGTGACATCCATGTTTCCAAGCGGCGGCGGCAATGACAGCTGCACCGCCTCCTGTCACTGTGAATATGTACACTACGCTCCGATTTGCAGTCCACACAATGTCACCTACATCTCTGCTTGTCACGCCGGCTGCACCGAAAAAACCAAGGATGAGCTGGGTCAATTCATATACACAGGCTGCAAGTGCATTGGCGCTTCGGATATAGCGAATGCTACTGAGGTAAGTCTTCTACCCTTCAACTAAGTCAAATTCGAACCATCGACTTTCGTTTTAACCTAAGGTTCGAACCAAGTCTTTTACATAGTACACTATTTTACTTTTAGAGTAGAACCACTTATTTGACTTTTAGAGTAGAACCGACTAAACAGGCCTGCAGCTAAGTAAAATTCGAACCATCGACTTTCTTTTAACTTAAGTCTTTTAGATAATTCATCATAATTATTAGTATTTTATATAGGATAAGCCATAGTTGGACTTAATCGGGGAGGCAACTTATTTCACTTTTAGAGTAAAAACAACTAAAACAAGTTCGAACCATTGACTTTCTTCTAACCTAAGGTTTGAACCACGTCTTCTAGATAATTCATCATAATTATTAGTATTTTATATAGGATAAACCATAGTTGGACTTAATCGGGGAGGCAACTTATTTCGCTTTTAGAGTAAAAACAACTAAGACAAGTTCGAACCATCAACTTTCTTTTAACTGAAGATTCAAACCACCAACTTATTAATCGTAAATATCCTTTATATTAGCACCAATTTGCCCGACAAGGTCCATGTCCGGCGGACTGTTACAACCAGTTTCTCATCTTCTTGGGCGTCATGTGTTTTCTTAAGTTCGTGGGTTCCTCGGGAAGAACATCCAACTTGTTGTTGGGTTTGCGCTGTGTGTCGTCGGCGGATAAGAGCCTTGCTTTGGGTCTGAGCAATATGATCGTCGCCATACTCGCCTTTATACCCAGTCCCCTTGTGTTTGGCGCGATTCTGGACAACAATTGTCTAGTCTGGGGCAAAACATGCGGCAGCAACGGCAACTGCTGGCTATATGACACCAAATCTTTGCGGTAAGTTTTTAAAAACATTCACTTTTTCATAACTATATAAATCGTTTTTTATAATTGCAGCTATACGATCAATTTCTTGTCTGCCTCGTGCATTTTGGCTAGCAGCTTTTGGAACATTGGTGTCTGGTATCATGCTAAGAATCTAAAGATATTCGAGGAAGAGGACGAAGAGACAAACCATAAGAAACCAGAACAATTTGAATTAAACCAAAAATCTTGCGAGATAAAAAAGATTCGGAATGAGCCAAGGCGCCATAAATAATATTTAAATACACACGCTTGTTTACTTGATGATTTTTAGTTTGGGCTTATCACCTTCTGCAGAGATAGATATATAGATATATAAATTTTGCAATGCTGAATGAGTATATATAATATCTTAATGTTTGCTTTGCTTGGCACGCGAGTATTCTTATAGATTTAAGAGTTTGTTCTGGCTGATTGACTGATTGGGAATCAAGGCAAGCTTCGTTTTTAATCTCAAAAATTGACCTTCAAGTGGACGAAACATTTCAGCTAGCTTTGTAAATGTGACCGTCTTAGCCAGCGAGAGGTCACCGGTTCAAACCTAGCAGAACAATTGTCAAGTAACACGATGTTATAACAACAGTCAAAACTTTGCTCCATTACGTTGTGGTTCCAGATTTTGAAAATATGCTATAAATGTTAATATTATCTCGTCAATACTGCTGTCTCATCTAGCGAGAGGTCGCCGGTTCAAGTCCAGCATAGTATTTTTTAAGAAAAACAATGTTATACTACTTTTAAGAACAATCATAATTTTAAGCGTTCTTTTTGTTCCTTTCAAAATAAGTTATACCTTTTTAATATTATCTCATCAATATTGCTGTCTCATCTTCGACGATATTCAGATCTTAAAATCTCAAGCAATATAGAAAATCGCACACAATGACACTAACATTTCAGCATCATTTGTGCTAAAAGATTAGATTAGGTATACAAGATACGACAGCCCAAAGTTTTATAAGATTCAGGCAATAATTATCACCTGTGGTTTATGGATGCCTTCGCGAACTGCTGCCTAGATATACTTGCCCAGAAATAGTTTGCAGTTAGTCTAGTTTACAATTTTGATGGAATCGGTTGGAAATGAGCCTCGACAAGAAACAAGAACAAGCGGAGGGGCTGCCGTTCCTAGGCGATGCGTCTGCCAAGTCCAACAATGGAAAACCGCCTAAGGAAAAACCGCACAAGGATATCAGATGCGGATTTTGGATATTCAAAGGATCAATGCTGCAGAGGTAAGCTGGAGAATACGTAATGCTAAGGCTCTCCAAGCCAATTGCATATATGTATGTACATTTGCAGGCTAGCTACCGAAAAATTGTTTGTCGTAATTTACGGCATTGGCGGTTGCTTTTTATCCATGTCTCTGGCTTACTTTAATGGCACTATCACGACCTTGGAGAAACGCTATAAAATACCAACAAAAATGTCTGGCATGATTATTGTTGGAAATGATATAAGCATGATGATAACCTCCGTCCTGGCGGGCTACTATATACACAAAGGACATCGCGCGCGCTGGATAGGCTTTGGTAAATTCATTTCAATCAATCCCAGTTGATTTTTGTTCTTTTAAATGAAGTGGAATTTCAGGTTTTTTCACAATCTTTATATTCTGTTTGCTCACATGCTCCTTGCACTTTATATACGGCGCTGGCGAGGATGCTCTGAAGCTCACCCGGCAATATGGTGACTTTAAGAACATCAGCGAATACCTGACAACTGCACATAAGGAGCAAAAACTGTGCATGACCAAGGAATCGGGCTGTGTACAACAGGATGGCACCTGGGTGCCGCCACTTGTACTGTTTGTGGGCCAATTTGTAGCTGGCATTGGAATATCCCTCTTCTGGACAGTGGGCATTGCCTATATGGATGATAACACCTCAAAGGACAAGACACCGGCATTGCTGAGTAAGCATGACAAGAAATTGTGTGTAGACTAAATATCTTTTAAGTTACAGTATACGAAGCATGTCTGTCTTTCGTACGAATAGTTTCAGATTATCAGACCAACTAATCCTTGCATTTTGTTACAACCATTCTAATAGAACCCTTCCCTTCCTTCAGGCATATCCGCTTTCCTACGCATGCTGGGACCGGCCATTGGCTATTCTCTAGCTTCTGTCTGCCTGCGTTGGTATATAGAACCGAATTTGGAGCCCCTGATCAAGCCCGGAGATCCCAGATGGTTGGGCGCCTGGTGGCTCGGCTGGCTTATACTAGCTGTCATTACCTTTATCATTGCCTTCTTTATGTTCATGTTTCCCAAGGAGCTGCCCAGCGCGAATGCGAGACGTTTAGAATTGGAAGCGACTGGCATGCAAGATCCCAAGGAACACAAGGACCTCTCCATAAGCGACTTGTTGCGCTCCATAAAACGTTTGGCAGCCAACAAAGTCTACATGTACAACACATTCGCCACCAGTTTCTATCTCTTCGGCTATTTGGCCTACTGGATATTCACACCAAAGTATATTGAGACCCAATATAGGCAATCGGCATCAATGGCCACCATGGCTACAGGTACCTTGGCTCTAGGCTTCTCAGCTGTGGGCGTACTCCTCTCTGGATACATAGTGTCCAAGTATAAGCCCAGTGCAAGGGCCATGGCTGCTTGGAATGCGACTGTGGACTTCTTGACCGTGGCTGGCATTCTGCTGTACGTAGTCATTGGCTGCGAGGGCAGCGATCAGCTAAGCTCCATGGCGATCAGCGACAGCTGCAGCACATCCTGTCACTGTGAATACGTGCACTACGCACCAATCTGCAGTCCGGATAATGTTACTTATATATCCGCCTGTCATGCCGGCTGCACGGGCAGCAGCAAGACTCCGCTGGGACGCACCATGTTCACAGGCTGTGCTTGCTTACATCCAACGAATACAACAAGTGGTTCCGAGGTAGGCAGCACATGTGGAAGGAGCTGCTTAGCTTTTGCAACTCTTATTGTTTGTGCTTTACAGTTTCAGTATGCATTGGATGGTGCCTGTCCTGTGGATTGCACTAGACAGTTCATCGTCTTTCTGGTAGTCATGTGCTTCCTGAAACTCGTCGGTGCCACCAGCAAATCCACCAATCTTCTTATATCACTGCGCTGCATAGAGCCGGAGGACAAAAGCTTTGCTCTGGGTCTGGGTGGCCTGATTGGTTCGCTGACAGCCTTTATACCTGGTCCGATTTTCTTTGGTTGGCTTTTGGACAAATACTGTTTGGTGTGGGGCAAAACTTGCAGCAACAAGGGCAACTGTTGGCTTTATGACACGCATTCCTTAAGGTAAAGTCTTTCATTTATATGCAATTATTCTAATTAATCCTACATTTAACTAACTTTCAGGTATGCATTCAACCTAACTTCAGGCTTTTTCATATTATTGGGTGGCCTCTTAAATATTGGCGTGTGGTATCATGCCAAGGACCTTCTGATATTCGATGAGGAACAAAAGGAAACCGATAAATCGGATGGTAAGGCAGACAGTTTCAACCTTACGTCCAAATTCCAAGTAGTTAAGGTATCCAAAGAAACGGAAGAACTTTAAGATCAATGTTATCTTTGAATTTTAAACACGAATTAACTCTATGAGACTTATTAAACAACATTTTAAGAAGAACCGATTTTTAACAAAATATTTCAATAAATTATCAAATGAATGAAATATTAAAATTGTTCTGCATTTTTGTAAATTTGAAGCCTAAACTTAAAGGAAATTAAGAAAAAATCGCTCCTTACTTTTTAAAGACCTGCTCGCTTGTGGATAGCACATATCCACGAGATTACTTTGAAAATAACTCAATCTTTATATCTGTGAAAACAACGATAAAAATATGGTATTGGTACACATTCTGAAGAAGGTAAATGTTTGAGCTGTTGAATCTTAACAGGTAGCTTTTAGTAGAACTTGTTGAAGGAATTGATGAAATTCATTTGGTAGATAGAGAAACGAGATACGCTTAGATAAAATAATTATATTATCGTTTTATCTGTGTGCTGCATAGGTTGCCAAAGGTCTTATCATGACGGGAGTTAAGCTGTAACATTCATAAACTGCAGCCGCGTAATCTGAAGGTTCTTAGTTTTATTGACGTTAAATGTCGAGACAAATGTAAGCTCATATGAATTTGTAGCACGAATAAGGCTCAGTTCAGTCGAGCGCTTGAATGGAGCAAGTCCAGTATGAGCGTCGATAATAAGAATCAGAGTGAGGTGTCCCCATTTTTAGCAGATAATGACAAGCAATCAGCTATAGAAAGGAAGGAACAGGAGCTCAAGGATACAAAGATTTCAGCTTTAGAAACAGAAGATGATAGTCAAGATATTACGTGCGGTTTCTGGATATTCAGGGGAGCCTTTCTGCAAAGGTATTTCTGAAAATCTACCTATAATTAACGAATTTTACACAGACCCATTTTAGCTGTGCCACGGAAGCCATGTATGTAACCATATATGGCATAGCTGGCTGCTTTATGGCCATGTGCTTTGCCTACTTCAATGGCACAATTACAACATTGGAGAAGCGCTATAAGATACCAACAAAAACGCTGGGCATCATCTCGGTTGGCAACGATATGAGCACCATGTTTGCCTCGGCCCTAACAGGCTATTATCTACGCAAAGTACATCGACCACGCTGGATGGGCTTCGGTTAGCTTAACCATAATCAATAGGGTTCATCAGTTTTTTAAAGCAAGCCCCCTTTTTAGGTCTATTTACGATCGTTATATTTTGCTTATTGAACTGCTCGCTGCACTTTATCTATGGCGCTGGCGAGGATGCGTTGAAGCTGACTCGTGATTATGGAGACTACCAAAATCTAACTGGAAATTTAAACAGGGCACACAGAGACCACAAACTTTGCATGTCGGAGGATTCCAGCTGCATACAGGAGGATAGTGTTTGGGTACCTCAATTCATATTATTTCTGGCACAATTCATATTGGGCATTGGACAGGCGCTTTTTCTTGTTGTGGGCCTGGCCTACATGGATGATAACACCACCAAGTCCAAAACGCCAGCCATGCTGAGTAAGTCCATAAATTTATGACTAGAATTTCCCCCACAGTTTTCTTTTTGGGAATAAATATGGATTGGAACTACTCACTTTCCGATTCCCTTTAGGTTTCTCCACATTTCTACGCATGTTGGGTCCTGCTATTGGATATTCCTTAGCTTCGCTCTGCCTACGTTGGTATATTGATCCCACAGCGGAGCCCTTAATCAAGATCGAAGATCCCAGATGGTTGGGCGCCTGGTGGCTGGGTTGGCTTATTTTGGCAGCTATCACATTTGTGATTGCAATCCTAATGAGTCTGTTTCCCAAGGAGCTGCCCAGCTCAAAAGCGAGACGCCTAAAATTGGAAAGAGCTGGCAAGCAAAATCCAATCGAACACAAGGATCACTCATTGAGCGACATGTGGCAATCTGTAAAACTCCTAGCAACCAACAAGGTATACGTATACAATACGTGCGCTTCAATCCTGTACTTCTTTGGCTACATGGTATATTGGATATTCACGCCGAAGTACATTGAGACGCAGTATCAGCAGTCGGCCTCCGTGGCTACTATGGCTACTGGAACTGTAGCTCTAGGCTTCTCAGCTGTGGGCGTACTCCTCTCTGGCTACTTAGTGTCCAAATATAAGCCCAGTGCAAGGGCAATGGCTGCTTGGAATGCAACTGTGGATTTCTTGACCGTGGCTGGCATTCTGCTCTATGTGTTCATTAGCTGCGAGGGCAGCGATCAGTTGAGTTCCATGGCGACCAGCGACAGCTGCATCGCCTCTTGCCACTGTGAATACGTACACTACGCTCCGATCTGCAGTCCAGAGAATGTCACCTATATATCCGCCTGTCATGCCGGCTGCACCGAAAAAACCAAGGATCAACTGGGACGCACCTTGTTCACAGGCTGTGATTGTATAAATCCAATAAACAAAACAGGTGGTTCCGAGGTAAGCAGCACCAAGGATGGAGTCTTATCTCTTAACTTATTGGCCTCTTTTTCAGCTACAATATGCAGTGGATGGAGCTTGCCATGTTGATTGTTTCCATCAGTTTCTCATCTTCCTGGGCGTCATGTGTTTCCTCAAGCTAGTCGGCGCCTCCAGTAAATCCACAAACTTGCTTATAGCCTTGCGTTGCATACCACCTGAGGACAAAAGTTTTGCTTTAGGTGTAGGCAGCATGGTAGCATCTTTGTTGGGCTTCATTCCGAGTCCTATTTTCTACGGCTGGCTGATAGATAAGTATTGCTTAGTCTGGGGCAAGACGTGCAGCAATAAGGGTAACTGCTGGATATATGATACGCAGTCTTTAAGGTAAGAATTATAAGCACTTGAATATGTGTGTGTTGCATTAATCAATTGTGTTTTCTAGATATGCGCTGAATCTTGCGGCTGGCTCTTTTATACTGATGGGTGGTTTCATGAATATTGTGGTTTGGTATCATGCCAAACATTTGAAAATATTTGATGAAGTAAAAACGGAGACTGGTGAAACGAAAAAGAGCTTGGAGGATATCACATTAAAAGATCTAGGCAGCACACTTCAATTGCAAAAAATTGGAGAAGATATTTAAGATATTTGTCCTCTGACGTCATTTGCCACAATAAAGATCATAAAGTTTATATGCGTTTGACGTTTGTCGTTAAACTTTCGTATATAGGCATATGTATAAGCCCTTAGTTCAATAAGGGCAGCCATTCATCTGGCAGCTGAGGCTCAAGTATGGCAATAGCATTATTTTGCTCTATTTCATGTGCATCGCCAAGGCACCACAAGGCGTCGAAGAGTATCAATTGCAAGAGGCCAGCGCCAGCTGAGCACTCCTCAAATGTAATGGGCGCCAGATCCATTTGAACTTGTGCGCTATATGCATTTAGCCTTTCGTTATTTAAGCGAGCCAATGAAATGGTTTTGTCTCTATGTTCCTCAATCTTCCACATGGCTAACAACACTTCTGGCAGGGGCTTTATAAACTCCTGCAGTAGACCATCAGCATACACATTTTGTGTGTAGTTTTTACGCAGCTCGTCCAGCTGTTCCGTATAGGTGCTCTTAACAAATAGCTCATGCTGCAGCCGGTGCAAACAGCGCGCAGATTTCGCGCAGAATAGCTTTTCAAAGGAGTTATGCAGGTGGCACGCATCCAAAACGATCTGTGGCAGCGGTTGTTTAGCTACCATTGCAACCTCCCGCAGCGCTTGCATGTGCAGTTTCTGCTTAGCTACAACAATGGCCACATAATTCTCCAGTCCATTGTGCTCGATTTCAAGCAATATGTTTGTTAGAACGCGGCCAATTTCATCGTTTGTGATTAGCTGTCATAATTGAAAACTGATTAGTCCAAGTCTCAAATGTATATAGATTCTATGTACATCTCAATAGCTTACAGGCATCCTTAATTGCTCCAGCTCCATATGCTTGCCGCGCACTCTTGCCAAGCTTCTGGCATAGCAAAGACGCTGCTCCTCGCCATTGGTGCGTGATAGGAATACCACAAAGATCTGCCAATATGATTTTATAAATTTGCTTATAATTGTAATTTTGTGACTTACCTTATGGATATACGGCTCCAAACGCACCCAAAACTCACTCATATTAAGCGTATACGTCTTGGTCCGATCAATTCGATGCAAAACCCCAGGATGATAGTACTCGAGGCCGTCCAGATTGTACGTTTTGTGTATGCGGCGCAGTCTCCACTGCACCCTTTTGGAGAACGCTGCGTACTCATCATCCGTCATGCTCTCGATTTCTGCAAAATCATCTGGCTGCACGCAAGCTCCAAACTTTGCAATTGGTGGTCTTCCGGGCCGCACATAGCCCTGTGCTTGAGCCTCGGCCTTTTCGTGGCGTGCTGTTAATAGGCGATCGTGTAGATCCTGTTTGGTGCCTTTGATGTTTAACGCACGCCCGTAAAGATCGCGTATCAAATCCCGTAAACTAAAATCGGACAACGGCAACTCCATTTAATAATTTCGAGCCAAAATGTACCGCAATCAAATTTTTTAGCGCTAAATTTAGTGGTGGACCAATATAAATACAGTATGGGAAATCGCAAAGTGTGCAGTGTTGGTCACTTTATTAACTGGCAATCGATATATCGATATTTTCACATTTGAAGCATTAACGGTTTCGTTTTGTAATGCAACATTGAAATACATTTTTGTTGTAAATCTAGGTTACTTTGCATATTTTCTGACAAATGTTTGTGCTATATATGTATTAAGCTTGACATCTAAATTTCTTTTACCAAATGCGTTAGGCCAATCCTTTCTTTTCCATCCGTAACACCATCCAACCACCACCAGTTCATTCAATGGCGGAAAACAGTTGCTGCAAATGGAAGGAAATATTGAGTAAAAATTTACCACGCAAATGTCCAGCGAATTGTTTCAATCCATTGAATGGACCATGTCCCGACTACAAAATCGTCGATGTGGTTAACCGGGAGGCCAGCGTTGTGAAAGCCATACTCGAGCCGGAACCGCCCATCCGCCGGATAATTGACACAAAAGCGCTCTGTTCCAAGTGCTGCGGCCTGGCCGAAAACACGCCGGAAAAGTGTTGCAACTTGTGTGACGCCCAAAATGGTACCCAAAGAAATAACTTATGTTCAGCTGCGTGCAGACCGCTCGGCACAAAGCTGCACTTGGAAGAGGTATTATAGCTAGCCCAAACTCGATCTATACATAATTAATTTTCTGATTTTTAGTGGACGAAACGCCCTCGACCGAAGCCCACGTATAAGCACAGTCTTTTTGTGGATAGTGAAACGTTAGCTGGACGTGTGTTTCCCGTCAAGTTTCGCTTACGTCGCATAAAAAACCATTGTAGCGACTGTGGAAAGGAGCTGTACTTCCGTGATCCCATTACGGACAACTCAAACGTGGTTGTGCTCACAAACTGCTGCGATGTCAAGGTATATCACAACAGGGCACTCGAGAACTGGCACCGGGTGCCCATCCTATCCATAACCGGCGACAGCAAGATGAAAAAGAAAACAATAAATGAAATATGCCAACTGGAACCCAAGAAACTGCCGCCAGTTGTGGACATAATCGCCAAATCAATTGACAAATTGACCATTAGTAAACGGAAAAGTAAAAAGGGTAAAAAGGGAAAGAAAGGAAAGAAATAATGCTATGGAATAAACTCGTAACTTAAAAAACTAATTAACTAACTAATTAAGAAGAGTTAATATGAAACATCTTGCTTTAAAAGTCAACTCGGGACAAGAGCTTAGGAATATTTGAAATCCTTTTGCAAAAAAGATATTCAAGGGATTTTGTAATGTTTTTCAATTTGCATTTAATTAATTTAAATTCAGTCGCATAAGCATACTTAGCGTTAACCTAATAACTAAAATGTATAATTCAGCTTAATATGCCAATCCACAATATGTAGAAAAAGGGGAACTTAGTTTTGATGATCGGGTCGATTTCCTTGCATTATTTGTTTAGAATTTAAGACTTTTTCTTTACAATTACAGATACAAATACTTGAATATTATCAATATTGATGTTGTTGTTGTTGCTGTTTAGCTTTTGCAGCTAGAATACGTAAATATGACTTAAGACTAAAACATGTTTTATTCCTGCAATTCTCTCACAATAATGGATTTAAAACCGTTGAATGTTCTTTGTTAATTTGTTGTTGTCGAGTTTGCCGTGTTTTAAATATTATACGAGATGTTTTTGGAAAACTATGGGGAGCAGCACTCGGCTTGGATGCCCTATTGTTTGGCGCAAGGCGTTGTATTGCAGTTGGGTTCGATTTTTGCGTGATATCGAATTTCACAACTATATTATTATAATAATAATTAGACGTAGTTTATGTATGTCAAAACTAGATTATAACTACATATGCACTTGAATATTCATTTAAAAATTAGCTACAAGTTGTTAAGTTCTACATTTATGTTTGGATGTTTTAAAATAGGCGTCTTTCATACTGTCAGCGGCGAGTCACGCGAATTCAAATGAATTATGAATCTTGTGCAGCTCCATTTCAACTAATATTTGGAGTGAGCAAGAGCCTATGTCTTTCCAATAATGGGAAAGAAGTCTTTGAGAAGTGTGGTGCGACGCTTTTCTGCAATATCCATTTGATTCTCGAGCGCAGCCCTATCCGTCGTCTCGGCTCGCTCGATTTTCCACGACAGATTCTCGATCTCTGCCTCCAATTGCGCCTGCAAAGCAAACATGTTAACAAACCTATTCGGCATATGGTTATGCATATTTCAACTCACCTGCTGGTACTCGAACAGATTCTTTCGCGAGCCGGCCTCCATGTAGTAGGCATAGGGATAGGTGTATTGCAGCGTATAGCGACACTTGGCGAGCAGCGCGGCCGCATTGAACAGATACTGCCAGTCGATCCAGGTGCCGCTGCCGTTCATGACCTTCGCATTGATGCGCTGCCTCAGACGATCGATCGTCTGCTGCTCCAATTTGAGAGACTTGGAATGATTCTCCCAGCGCTCGTAGTAATGCAAATACTTTTTGAGTGCCTCGCGCGCCTGCACGTGCACCGATTCGTTGGCAATATTGGGATTGTCCTTGTAGCGGGAGCATTCGTAATATTCGGAGCCGTGCGTCTTCCAATCGCCCAGGCACATCCAACAGAAGTCGTGCTTGCAATTGAAGCACTGCATATGATTGCAGCCGCCGTTCTTCTCGATGCATATGTGACACTTGGGGCAGTCTTTGGTGTGTGCGCTTATATAGTTGGCCGTTTCGCTGTCGTCGGCGCACTTGGTTAGCCATTTCCTGATGATCTGGCAGTCAGTGGGCGCATGGTAGTCCATGCCGCACTTGAAACAGAAGCCCGTATGACAGACCTTGCAGATGGCACGCTTAGCGGAGATCTCTGATGATTGCACAATGATTTGGCAATTGGGTCCGGGGCAGAAGCGCAGTTCCGGATGCGACTTCACATAGTCCTTGAACGCAAACTGTTGATACTTGTCGCGCATCACCGGACGCGTAACTAGCGTCAGCACCAAATCCTCCGGCACCCGAACATTGCACTGCTGCGCCATGCAGCCAATCTGTATGGAAATGCCCTGAAAGATTTGCGTCTCAAAGTAAATGGTCCAGCAATCCTTGCAGAACGAATGCCCGCACGCCAAGCTATAGAACTTGTCGTTCGGCTGCGAGCTCGCGCACACCGGGCACATGCGGCGCTGTTGCTGTGACGTCGTGTGTGTACTGCTGGATGTGGACAACGTTGTCGCTGTCCTGTAGCCCGTGCTGCCCATGCGCAACAGCTGTGCCGCCGCTGCGCTCGTCGAGGCAGAGGCCGCGTCCGCAGCAGTTGTGGGCGGTTTGATGCGCGCCGTCACCAGCAACGCGTTCGCATCCTGGCGATACTTCTCCACCACCGCCGCGTTGTTCCATTGATGTTCGAGCAGCAGCACCTTGGCCAGCGATGGGGTTATTTGCAGTATCGTGTTTAACTTTTCTACCAGCTCGTTTAGCAGCTTCTCAATGTCCTCCACGGTCAGGCAGTCGTATTCAAAGTACTCGGGATCAGCACGCTTTGGATCGAGTCTTTCGACATCGCAGTCTTCGCCTGAAAGTATGCAAATCCAATTAGACACCTAACTAACTAGCACCAAGAACAAAGTAAGAATACATATTATATAGTTGAATAACTGACGAGACTTTAAATCGATAGGTTTCCGGTTCAAATCCAGCAACAATTCATAGTAACTACTCTTAAGTATATTTGGGACAAGACATGGTCGAAGGTGTGTCGGTGTAGGGTGTTTACTAGTCGAGTAAACCTCATGCTGAATTTTCCACTTACTACGCAGTGTATAAGTCATGGGTTTATTGCATCTCCGCACCCAAAGGAGGTGCTCCTAGCATGTTGGTTACATTTTCAGCTCTTCCTCATTTTCACCCTGATTTTTCACGAGAAAAACCAACTGTGCACCAGGTGCAAAGCCACGATTGATTCAATTGGTTTGCTACCTGCGCTTCCAGCTCTCTTCACAGAATCCACAGCTGGGCCGAGTGGAAAATGGAAAAATTGTGAGCCAGGCCCTAATTTCCAACCAAAAGAAAAAAAATATCATGCTGATGGATGAGAAACCGAATTGATTGTCATTTTTACGACTGTTGGAATTCGATTGAAGGCCAAATATTACGTTGGCGTTACGTCGTTAGGCCGTTATTACGTCGTCCGATTACAAATAAGATGAAGTCATGACGTCACAATCAGCTTAAAAAAATGACGAGAGTGAGAGAGAGAGGGTGAGAGGGAGAGGGTGCTAGCAGGCAGGTCAAAAACAGTTGACGGAAGAAACTGAACGACGCGTCGTCGCGACGTCAGACAGCGGGCACTTAAGCACGCAGCAGCAGCAGCAGCAGGTACAAAGAGTACAAAGCAGAGGTGGCAATAATTCAAATAGCAAACAAGTCGAGCTTGACCGACTAGCAGATAGTCTGTACGCAGCTCTGAGATTTACCCAGCACAAAAACAACCTGATGTCAGCAAGACGGATCGGAACAACTTAACTCTCTCGCTTTTGGATCTATTCATTTTAAAGGTTCAACAATACCTAATACCGACTGTTACATACACTACCGCATTTGCCATATACCCGTTATAAGTGCGTACAGGGTATCATAGCAGCAGAGCTCTAAGCGCTGGCCCCGCATGTTTTGGCGCTGGCCGAGCTGAACGAACGATCATTTCAAGTTCAATTTTATAATTTAAGCTTCATGGTCAGAAAGCAAAACGTAACGAACCAAAACACAGCTACAAAATTAAATACATTAAAATTATAATTTAAATGGGAAGACGGCGCAGCAAATGGACAACTCACACGCTGGGGTAAAACAAGAGTTTAAGTAGAAGGGCACCAACGAGGGGGAAACGGAGGTAGGCAATTTCAAAAGGCGAATGTCAAGAGCCAAGTTACGTGCATGCTATAAAATAGAAGGTTAAATGCAAAATGCTAGGCCCAAGAAATGTTTGAGTGTGTGTGCGTATATGTGTGTGACACAGAGGTGAATAACCAAAGCAAAGTGCATGCAAACTTCACATACACACAGTATATGGCGCTGTCCAATAAGATAATCAAAAAGCTGCATTTGTGTGTGTGCGTTTAAGTTAAATCGATTGCTCGTTTGTAATCGATAAATTGCACAAAGCGTCCTTGGACACTGCCCCTTCTTACCTGTATTATAGTAATCATAATCGTCATCAAATTCCCCATCGTTGTCCGATTCCAATTCCATTTCAATGTCCGAGTCCATTGCAACTCTGTCAGGAGGTGGCGGCGGTGGAGAAGTTGTGCCAGGCAATAGGGAGCAGGGGCAGCCTCGTACGTGCGTGTGCGTGTGTGTGTGTGTGCGTTCCTCGCTTGGTTGCCCGTTGCCTTGCCTGACGACGATTGAAGGGCGAGTAAAGCAAATCGTAAAAATACTTCTTTACAAGGCTATTGCACGAGCGAGGGGGTTGGCGGGGCTTCTCTCTTAATGTTGTTGTTGTTGTTGATTTTGTGTTTGTAACAGTTGCTATTGTTGGTGGTGGCGTTGCTGCTGCTATTGGTGGTGGTGGAAGATTTAGTTGCTGTTATTGTTGTTGTTGCCGTGGGGTATGTTGCAATTGTCGTTACGTCGTTGTCGCACTCCCCCCATTTACATGAGCACACGCTGGCTGGAAGAGCTTTAGCTTAGCGGGGTGGCAACGTCGCTGTCAATAGATCCCGTTTTATTTTCGTTTCACACACACGCACACATGCGGGACTGCTGGTGCATTCAGTGTTGTGCATTTGACTTTTTTTGCTGTTAAAAATAGACACTTGCACCGCGTCAATGACAACGCACTCTGGTGTATTCTTGCTCGTCGATTTTCTTTTGTTTGTTGCAATGCAATCAGCATGCAATCATTTTTAATGCAAACATTCAATTCCTTTGTCTTTTAATTTTTCGCAGCGCCTGCTTTGCACTCGCACTCGCGCACTAGCTGCGTTGCTCGCCCCTCTCTTATTATCCCCCGCTAACACAAACACACACACCTCACACTGACACAGTAACACCCACACGACGCTGCAGCCACACAATACTGTCACTAGCACGAGTACGAGTACGACGCACAGTGTACGTCACTTGCAAATTGCGCAGTTTAATATATTGGCTATTGCACTTTTTACATTTAATTATTATTACTTGTAAGACACGGCGAAAAATAAACGCTCTGCGACGCAGAGCTACGAAACACGCAGTGTGACCATAGCTACCAAACTTAAAAAGGCACAACAGCTGTTTGTGGCGGTCGTGCGATAGGCACGACGTAGCGCATAATTGCGCTACGTTAGAAATGCCTTCCGCTAATCGCTTATCGATTACAGCTTGCAGCTTTTATCGCCGAGCAGATGCCGAAAGACCGGGAAATTGCGTTGTTTCTGGAAATTGTGAAATAATTTAAAAATAAGAAATGTCTACAATTGAAAAACTATCTATACAAGGCGTACGCAGCTTTGGAGCGAATGCCGAAGATGTCCAGGTAAGCGTCTATAGTTTGTTTTAATTTAGGAGCTGTTCCTAATCCCTAAAATTTAGAGCATCACATTTTCATCGCCCATAACGCTGATCCTGGGTCAAAACGGTTGTGGCAAGACAACAATAATTGAATGCCTCAAATATGCACTCACCGGCGAGTGTCCGCCCGGCAGCGATAGCGGCAAAAGTTTTGTGCATGATCCAAAGATTTTTGGCAAAAAAGAATCCTTGGCCCAGGTCAAGCTGCAGGTGCGCGATCGTCGCGATATGTGCCTCTCCATTTGCCGCAGCATGAAGGTGTCCATAGTGCGGGGCAAGCCCACCTTTAAAACGCTCGACTCCACGCTCAATTTCCTGGGCAGCGATGGCAAGCCGGCGAAGGCCAACAGCCAGGAGTCGCTGAGCTTTCGGGGCATCAACACGGATGTGGCTGTCAGTGATTTCATGGGCGTCTCGAAGGCCATTATAAATAGTGTGCTGTTCTGCCACCAAGAGGACGCCAGCTGGCCGCTGGACGAGGCCAAGAAGCTCAAGGAGAAATTCGATGCCATTTTCGGCATAACCGAGTACAACAAGGCGCTCGACAGGATCATTAAATTGCGCAAGACGGCAATGGAGGAGCTCAAAGTAATGGGTATGTTGTGCACAAGTCGTAAATTTTACTTTTAACAACTCACAAATACCCATTTTAGAGGCCAACATGAAGTTTCTGGAGCACCTGAAGAAGGAAATGGACGAGAAAACCTTGAGCCTGGAGCAGGCCCAGAAAAAATGCGAGGAGATCAAGGAGGAGTGCAACAAGTGCGACGAGGAAGTGAAACCAATCGATGCGCGACTGCAGGAGATACGCAATATCGAGTTCGAGATTGGCAAATACCAGGCGCAAAAGGTCGAAATGGACACCAAGTGGGAACACTTCAATTGCTTAAATTAAACAATATCGCTTCATAAATTTCGCTCTTTACAGGCACAAGAATTGCGTGGAACAAATCGCCAACCTTAAGAGGAACATAAAAAGTCCGTTCCAAGGTTCCCTCGTCGAACTGGAAGTGGAAATGCGCAGCTTCAGCCAGCGCATGTCCGAAGTGAGATTTCAACGCACCGATGTCGAGGAGCAGCTGAATCAATTGCGCAAATCGAATGCAGAGCAACAAAAGACGCTGGCCAAGCAGGACAAGGAGCGCTGCATGGCACAGCAGAAGCAGAAGAACGAGCAGGAATGCAAGCAGCAGCTATCCGAACGTCTTCACGCTTTGTGCCAGCAACTGCAAATAAGTGTGCCGGCGGCAGTGGTTGATGAGCCACAGCAATTGGCCGATCTGCTGGACGACATCGATGTGAATCTCATGAGCAAACAATGCGAGATAACGGAGCTGGCCGCCCAAAACGATCAGGCGGACCAGATGCGCCAGGCCAAGATCGACGAGCTGCGCACTGAACTAACCAAATCGGAGCAGAGCATCAGCACGCAGGAGCAGCAGAAAGCGGCCAGCGAGCGCGAGAGCGAATCGTTGGAGGTGAAAATCAAGCAAATCGAAACCTCGCTCCATCAGCTCAAGGTGCTGGAAAAGCAAATCGCGGACACAGACGAGAAATACGAGCGTACGACACGCAGCTTCAACCAGGAAGCCTGTCGCCAGTTGATAGCTGGCAAAAAGGCCAGCATTACAGAGAAACAGAAGCGCTTTAAGCAGCTCGACGAGCAGCTAACCTTTCTCAGCTCCATAGCCAAGCTGATGGCCGAGATTGGCCTGAAAGAGAAGGAGCTGGAGAAGAAGAATCAGGAGATACATCGCGTGCGCAGCAAACATAGCGAACATTTTGGCAAATTCTTCAATGAACCCATCTCAAGCAACTATCGTCGCGCCATGCAAAACGCCTACGATAAGTTGCGTCGCGAGATCCAAGAGCTGAACGACAAGGCCAATGGTCATAAGCTGGACGAACAGTCGCACGAGATCAAGCGCAAGAATCTGATTGCTGACATTGCCCGCATGGAGAAGGAGCTGCAAGAGTTCGAGGAGCGCATCTACCAAAAGTGCCATGCTACGCCCTACGATGAGCTGCTGTTGCGCAGCAAGACAGCCATATCCAAGCTGCAGCTGGAGCACGGTGCTCTCAAGTCCGCTGAAGCCATGTACAAGAAGTTAGTTAGCCATAAACTCGAATATGTAAATCTCTTTTAACAATAACTTGATTTATTCCCCTGCAGGTACATTCAAAAGATCGATGAGGAGCCGAGCTGCCCGTTGTGCCATCACAATATGTCTGGTGATGAGGTGTGTATGGAACCAAATAAATCTTGACCAGTAGCTTATCAATCCTCACCTTGAACAGGCTTGTGATCTGACCACCGAGCTGACGGATGAGATACAGAAGCTGCCGGATAATATTACCCGTGCTGAAAAGGCTTTAAAATCAGAGCAATTAAAATATGAAAACTTGCTGCAAATCAAGCCAGCCATTGATAAGGTTAGCGAGCTTAAAGAAACGCTGCCGAAAAAGAAGGACGAACTGCGAGGTATTGAGCGGCGTCTGGGCGAAATAGTGGCCGAATATGAGACGCTAATGGCGCTGCTCGGCGAGCCCACAAACAATGTGGAATTGGCCAATGCAATGCTGGGCGACATGACGCTGCTGGACGAGGCGCTCAAGGAGTCTGTGCGCGTTAAAAAAGATCTGGAGCAGCTCAAGGTGCGTCGACCCAAAATACATATTAAATTTATATGTTTTAATAATCATTTTCTACATTCCAGCTCAAATTGCCGGAGAACTACGATGCCAACGTCTCCACGGAGGCTTTGCAGGCTGAAAAAACTGAGGTGTCCAAGGAGCTAGAGGCTGAATCCAAGGCGCTGGAGACAAGTCAACAAACTTTCGAGCAACAAATGGAGGCGCTGAATCGCTTACGTGAATTTCGAAATGGGTAGATTTAAATTCCATAAGAAAAGTGCATAAATAATATTTATTTCTCTGTTTTTAGCTTGAAAGACAAGCGCATAAAGCTGCAGGAGGGCGTGCAGAGTTTGCCACAGTTGAAGGAAAGGCTGGACGAGCTGACGCGTATGCTCATCTCATTGACCACAGAAATAGCTGAGCTCAGGTCGAAGATTCAGCCCATAAAGCAAAGATTGAGCGCAGCCTTAAGCGAAAAGGCGCGCATGAAGGAAAGCGAACGCTTACAATTATCGAAATTGCAGACCAAATACCAGGAATACAAGAGCACCGATCAGGACATACAAAGGTGGGCAGTAAATGCGTTAACTCACAGCAAATCTTTTATTTATGTATTTCCCTAATAGATTAAAGAAACAGGCGCAAGAGTTCGACAGTCTGGATTTGGTGAATGCCATCAACAAATACGATGCGACCATAAATTCAATCAAGGCTGAGCTCAACAAAATGGTACCAATGCGCCCTTTAAACCTATTGATATATGACTAAACAGGCTCTAATATACGATTCCAGGAGGCACAAATTCAAGAGAAGAGCGAGCAGCTGGAAACACTCAAGACCGAGTGCCTCAATCAACAGAGCCTGGAGCGCGATCTGAAGGACAATCGCGAGTTGAAGCAGCTGCAGTTAAAGGAAGCCGAACTAAGCGAAAATTGTCAAACGCTGTCCAAGCAATTGGGCAATCTGGACTTTCGCAGCGTAACCAAGGAGAAGAACGAGCTAATGAAGAGACGCGATATGGCCTCGGTGCGACGCGGCGAGCTGCTCGGCCAGCAGGGCGAGATAAACAATCAGGTGGCCAAGCTGCAAATGGAAATAAGCGAGCCCAAGTACAAAGAGTCCATGAAGAACTATATGCGCGGCCAGTTCGAGGTGGCTGTCAAGCGTCGCGGCATCGACGATCTGGGCCAGCATCGTGTAGCGCTCGAATGGGCTCTGATACAGTTTCATGCGGAGAAAATGAACAACATAAATAGTTTGATAAGGGAATATTGGCGCATGATCTACAGAGGCAACGATATCGATTATATACAGATCAAGACGGATGAGCTAGACAAAGACGCCTCAGCGGATCGACGCAAGAACTATAACTATCGCGTGGTCCAGTCCAAGAACAATTCAGAGATCGAAATGCGCGGACGCTGCAGTGCCGGGCAACGTGTACTCGGCTCTCTCATCATACGCATGGCTCTGGCGGAGACGTTTAGCAGCAATTGTGGCGTCCTCGCTCTCGATGAGCCCACAACTAATTTGGATCGAGATAACATTGTGTCGCTGTGCGACGCCCTCAATCGCATCGTCGAGAGCCGACAGTATCAATCGAATTTTATGCTCATTATAATCACGCACGATGAGAATTTCATATCCTCCTTGGGCAGAATAACCAGTTATCATCGCGTGCAACGCGATTCCGAATGCAAATCTCTCATACAGAAAGTGCGCGTCGGTGAAAAATAGTTACTTTATCATCAGTTAAGATAATATTCCAAAAACACATTCCTTAGAAGTGCTTGATTAAATCACAATTGTTGCCAACGTTTATAAACCGCAAAGCATTAAATATTATTTATGAAAAGAAATCATGTAAAAAAAACTGCCCTACTATGCGATTCTCATGCATTCAAGTACGCTCGTATATATATGCATATGTAATGTTTATGTATATGTATATGTATATGCATATGTGTATATGTATATGTGTATATGTATTTGTGTATGTGTATGTGCACATGCATATGAATGAGTGTGAATTGAATTCGAACCAGCTTGAAGTCCGACTCTACATGGAAACATGGCTTTCACTGGAAAGTCACATTTAAACAGCTTGATAAAAATTCAAATTCTTTTTTCAAAATTTGAATCTTCCATCTATGGTACATGACTGGGGCGACAATAGCTGTCGCTTGTTGCGCGAGAGACAACTTCTGAAGCAGCCGCCAGCATGTCCGAGGAGTTGCCTGGAACCGTCGGAGGGACAATGTGTCGATTACAAAGCCGTCAAACTGGACGAAGGCGTTCCGAACGTTGTCAAGAACTTTCTGGAGCCCGAGATACCAGTGCGACGCCGGATAGATCTAGTCGAAGTGTGCGCCGAGTGTGGCACCCGGGACCCGGAGAAATGCTGCAATTTGTGTGAGGCGCAAGCTGCAAAGGAACCAAATCTGTGCTCCACAGCATGTAGGCCCCAGCGCACAATGCTTAACACGAGGCAGGTGAGAAAAATGTATAAAAACGTTTCTAGTATTCTTCCGTAATACCCAATCCCAGTTTGTGCAATCCACGCGACCAAGACCCCCGTATAAGCACTCCGTCTTTTTGGATGAAAACACTTTGGTGGGCCGAGTTTTTCCAATGAAATTCCGCATACGTCGCCGGAAATGCGAGTGCCAAGACTGCCGAAAGGATCTGGCGGCACGCGAAACTGTGACGGGCAACGAGGATCTGATACTGTTATCCAACTGCTGCAACGTGGAGATCTATCCACGTCAGAAGATCGAAAACTGGCATCGGGTGCCCGTCAGCACGATAACCGGCGAGAAACATTTCTCCAAGAAAATCGTCGACGAAGTGTGCCAACTGGAGACCAAAAAAGTGCCACCTCCGCCTCCGCCTCCAGTCGAGGAGCCAAAGAAACGCAAAACATCAATTATGCCAAAAAAGAAAAAAAAGAAGAAAAAGAAGAAGAAAGGCAAAAAAGGCAAGAAAGGCAAAAAGAAGAAGTAAAATACTTACGTGTTAAAAGTGCTTCGCAAATAGTTTCAAAAAATATTTTCCAAGAGTACCGAGTTCTCGGTTAAATCTATAGAGGACTATATAGAAATTGCATTATTTCTGTAAGCGTCATTTATAGATTTAACTGAAATTCACGCACTTTGGCAGAGATTAAGTATTTATTTGAAATGTTATTTGAAGTAATTTTAACACGAATATTTTAAATTCTTATTTTACAAACTACAAAAGGCTTAAACCAGATAACCCTTTAAGGAACTGAATAATAAAATAAAAGCTTAAATTGGAAAGGTTAGATATGTTGTAAAACAATTTTATTTAGCATTTAAATTAAGACCAACCTAACCTGACATAACCTAGCTTATCCTAACCTAACCTAACTTATGCTAACCTAACCTAACTTATCCTAACCTAACCTAACTTATGCTAACCTAACTTAACTAGCCTTTTAATAGGATCGGTTCAAACTAATCTTCAAATATAATTTACTCTCAACAGAGACGAGAAAGAGTTAAAAAAAAAAAAACAGTCCTAACTTAATAAAAGGTATCATAACTTTTGTTAAATATATGCCACACGAGTGCTATACTTCCATGAACGGGTTTAACTAATTTTGGACCAGACCAAGATAGGAAAACAACCTAACATAAAGTTCAGAAGCTTTGTAATCTTTTTGCTTATGGACCGTAATAAGTTTGGATCATGGTCTTGTGGTTATATTATGCCTATAAATAATTATATGGCTGTCTGCAACGAGGCATAATATGAGTTATTTGAATCTTGGGAGGAGTATACCGTACGGGCAGAAAAAGATGGCTTTTAATAATCATGTATCTACTTTCCCTGAGCAGTGATTTATTGGACAAAAAGCGGAACTAAATGGCAGCCACTTTTAATGGAAGAGAGAAGCATTCGCTCTACTTGGCATCGCAGAGCTGGGGCCCGTCGCCAATGCAGGCGGCATAGGCCATCAGATGCGGAATCGTGCTCTGTTGCATCATGCCCGTAAAGAGATGGCTTTGCGGCCCGGAGGCAAAGATGCCCACATCGTCGCCCGAATGGGTGCCCTGCTCCTTGGTTATGTAACCGGGGTACTCGAAGTCATTGCCGCCAATTTGATCGGTCAGATCGATGCGCTGGCCCTTCTCGTCCAGATAGTTCTTGGGTCCGACGGCATAGTTGAGCGTGCTGTACTTGATGCCATTGATGTCGGTGTCATGCTGATTTAGGCCCAGGATGGGTGTGCCGCGTCCCGGATAGCCGGCAATGGACAGCGTGTGCGCATGATCCGATGTGACCACAATCAACGTGTCCTCAATGTCGGTCATGTCGCGGGCCAACTGAATGGCCTTCTCGAACTCCAGGGCCTCATCCAGCGCATAGCCCGCCTTGGTATAATGATTGCCATAATCGATCAGGCCACCTGGACGCGAGAGTTTAGGAATCGATATCGACAGGATGGACCAGTAGCTTCCACTTACCTTCTATGAATGCAAAGTAGCCGTTCTCATTTTGGCTCAGCTTCTTGATCGTCACCTCGGTCAGCTCGGAGAGCGTTGGCTGGTAGCTCTCATCGGCATCCAGGTGAAATTTCATAAGGCTGGACTGGAAGAGTCCAATGATGCTGGACACGGCCGACACGTTGACGCTGAGCAGCTGTTTGCGATTGGTGACCAGGACGCCGCCCTCGTGCCTGGCCTGCCAGCTGGCGAGCAGATTGACGTCATCGGAGCGTTCGCCGGGATTGCCGTGCGAATCCTGTATGGATTTTGGCAGAAATTTGCCCATGCCGCCGCCGAACATAATATCAAAATTCTTGCCAGGCACCTGGGTAATCAACTGGGTGGCCATGTCAACGCATTCGCTGGGGTCAACGCCGTAGCTGGCAACATCCGTATCGCACTCCCAGTTGCGATTGGCCGTCTTGGCGTAGGCGCCCGAGGGACTCGCATGGGTTAGCGTGGTCGTTGTCACAATGCCTGTGGATTTGCCCGCATTCTGTGCCCACTCCGCAATGGAGGTCAGCCGGTTCTCAGGCGTCTGACTCTCGGTGCAGTTATTGAAGCTGACCGCAGCGCTGACCCCGATCTCGATGATGTTCGTCTTCACGCCGCACAGATAAGCGGTGGCAGTGCATGCCGAGTCCGGCACCTGGGCATTGGAGCAGTAGGTCTATGGAAGCGTAAAGTAGCGAATAATTTGGATGAAGGCTTCTCCTAGCGCTGGCTTGCGACTCACCCTGCTGAGACCCGTGTAGGGGAACTGCTCAAAGCTGAGCGAGGATTCTTCGCCCGTTTTACCCTGACGTTGGCCTTTGAGGATTCTCGCCGCCGCCACGGTGGTCAGGGACATGCCGTCGCCCAGGAACAGGATCAGATTCTTGGCCCGTTTCACATCGGGCTGCGGCAATTGGAGCCTCTTGGCGATCTCTTCATGCGCCAAGTCGTACCAGAACTGGGGATCCTTCTCCTCCGGCGGCGTGTACTTATCGGTGGCCACTTCCGTGGAGAATCGGGCTTTGTTGAATCTGCGACCAGTCAGCTCATCGATATTGTGCACCTTGTCGGCCCCGGACAAGCCGACCGCCACCAGGACTCCGAGCAGGATGAGCTGTTGTCTCTGGCACAGCATCTTCTTAACTTGTTGAAAGTTCTAGCTAGATTTGCAACTGATACATTTTCCGGCCGTTTGCTGAGATTTTATAAGCATATTCCGCAGTTTCAGCAATTGGCGTACCTTACTTTTATGGCTTTATTATCTCACCTTCTTTTTTATTGTATCTCGTGTTGATGATTATCTCACAGCAAAACTCGAGACACGGCGGTGAATGTAATATGTGCACATTTTTAGCATGCCTATTTTAATTTTTTGAATCTAATTATGCTTCGTACATAGAACATGGAGACAATTGGATCAGCAATTGGAGAGTTTTCTAAACTCAGAGCCGAAGGAATTTGTGTAGACTTTTTCCACTAAGGAAAGTTAATTCCCAATTGGAAAAAATATTCAAGCACGTATTTAACAGAATTCGTTTTCTTAGCTTAGACTCCCGTAATCATCATTACAATAATATTTAAAAAATATCATATTTATTTATACCTGAGCAGGTTGCAAACGTATTTCTTATCATTTAGATACTGCTGAGATCATTGAGCAAATACTAAAAAAAAACGTTGGACACGTTTTTATGCAATAAAGACGGCACTTTCTTTTTTGAGCATGCACGGGATTCGAACGTGAGGCTATATTTAACAGAAGCTATATTTTTGCCTTCTCATAACCCAAACATAGGTGCAAAATCTGTGCGATAATAACGTATAAAGATATCAGAGAGACGTGCAGACAGTAAGTACTTTGGAATGCCAAATCTGTTGTTCACGCTCTCAATATAATTCGAGACTTCGCAGATATTTGTTAACTCAAATAGAAAAAACAACTGTTGCGCCTAGATTATTTTTGAATCTGTTGAAAGCGCAATCAATTCATGCAAGTGAGCTTTTAAAAACATATGAGCTGCTGCAAATCGATGATTTGTGCGCATAACTATCGATATTTTCCGGCGTGTTGTGCAATTATCGATAGCATTGCTGTGCCGTCGATTCTTTTCGCAACAATCATTCGGCAGCCAAATCGTGCAACAACAACAAAAGCGTGTCGCGTAATTATTTTTATTCCATTTCTTGCTAATCAAAAACAATTGAAAACAGCGCAAAATTTGTAAATAATTTGTTTCCACTTGTTTTTTGACAAAAAAAAGTGCCGTTAAAAGCGGTGACCGACACAAGAGCAACAACAATAATAACGCAACACGCAGTGCAGCTGCCAAGGACACGAACTGTATGAAAAAGTAGTGCAGCTAGGAGCATGAAACGGCATTAAACAAAAATAAAAATAAAAAACAACTCCAAAAAGCAAAACAAAGTACAAAGTTTTATAAGCTACCAAGCAACTATTAGCTATTTGTTATAACTAATTAATTAGACAAAACGGCACATAATACGCTACAAGTGTATACAAAGCGAGAAAGTATTGGTTTTTTTTTGTTGTTAGTAAAGAGAGGAGGAGTAAAACGCTGGTGATTTTAGCTTTTAGAATGGCGGCCAATAACTTGCGACAGATTCCATTGACCTGCAGTGGACATACCAGACCCGTGGTGCATTTGGATTTCAGTGATATCTGCGACAGCGGCTATTTTCTTATATCGGCTTGCAAAGGTAAGCAAATAATTCAACGTGAACGCGACCGACTAGGCGATACCCTGTTACTTCTATACATACCATAACCAATACACTGTGCCACTTGCCCAAGCTTCGCAATATTAAAAATGGGCGCATTTCTTTTTAGTTTATAGGCAGTCTTTGCCAATTCAGCTATTTTCGTGCTACTGTCGACTTTTTTCAGGGGTCATCAGCCGAGCAAAGTAAAATTTAGATTTTTTTCGGGCGTCTCGATAAGAAGTACTAACAACCCTGCTTACTGGCAATTTGTGCTCAGCAGGATTTAGTTCCTGTTTTTGAAATACAGCTGGTAACACTGAAACTCTTAAAATAACAGACTGCTTGTACGACCATGGCAGATGCTTCTACAATTATACCCTCTGTTATTTATTTTTAATAGGTAGAGGGTATAAAAACGCGTCCTTGTGTTATTTTTATTTGTGCAGCTATCTACGCATCTACGCTTCTGTATGTATTGGCCAGAAGCGGCATCACCGAGACAACGCATCGTGCTAGCTTGAGCTATGTCTAGCCTGGCTGCAACCTTGACCCAAATGCAAAAGCAAAAAATTATGAAAACGAAACCAGTTTAGCGAAAACCCTTTGCCAGACACTCGCCTGCTGCTATATACACAAAACACACACACAGATATACGCACACATATACATGTATTTAACATACGTTCTTTACCTTGACAGTGTCTAGAAACGTATGCACACACTTGTGTGTTTTGTATTTGTGCTTTCAAAAATATTGTCACACACACACACACACACACATACATATGCGGAAAGCAAATTTCCCATCGCAAGTTCAAGTTAATTTTTTTTATCGCCATTTAATGCAATGCTTCCCCTTGTTTAGCAACTTTTCAAAAAACTTTGTTGTTTTTCGTTGTTCGCAGGAAGCACCTTGAAACTTCTATATTTATATATGTATATATACACTGCAGCTGCGACGCGTTAAAAAAAAAAAATAAACAATCAAAAGTGTTGCAGTCGGAAGCTACCAGCTGTCTGCTACTCTGTTCCCATTATTGTAATTGTTTTCCTGTTTCCAAGTGTTTCATGCAGCTATTTGGGCTTCCACTCGATTGAAAAGGGTATACGCCCGACTAGGGAGCGTGGCTTAAACATTTTAATAATGCTCAAATTGCGGAAATTTGTATGAAGCAATATTCCCCATATTTTGCTTGGGAACAGTAATATTCCCCCTATTTATTTTGGAAAGGATGTGCCAAAATTGAGCGCCATTCCCCCTATTTTGTTTGGGAACAGTGTATATAGTACAAGCAATATTACCCCTATCTGGCTTGGGAACAGTGCATCAAAGTACAGCTATATTCCCTCTATTCTGTTTGGGAACAGTGTATAACAGTGTTTGATAACATCCGAAGCGAGAATTAAAAAGCTCTGATTGAACGCTTTGATTTGCGTCCCTGCACATTATTCACACAACCCCTCCCCGCTCTCTTTCTCAGTGTCTCGTTCTGTCTGTCGATCACGTTGCAAATGGAAATGACGTGAACTTGGTGCACGGCGGCTGCCCATTTGCGAGCACGAATCGCCGTCGTCGTCGCAGCCACTGCGTCAGGTCGTTGGCATTGAGCGTACTCGTTGAGTCAAGGTAGCTTCCGCCGCTCACACACTCACACACACACACACACACACACGCACGCAGTGTATTTAGTTGGCGCAATTAAGAATTGAATTAAATTGTCGTTGCCTTTTTTGCAGATGGCAGCCCGATGTTGCGTCACGGGGACACCGGCGACTGGGTGGGCACCTTTGAGGGTCACAAGGGCGCCGTTTGGGGCGTTGCACTCAATCGGAATGCAACGCTGGCCGCATCGGGCGCCGCCGATTTTACCGGCAAGGTATGGAACGCGGTGAGCGGCGCCGAAATCCACAGTTTCCAGCACAAGCATATTGTGAAGAGCGTCGCCTTTGACAATAGCTCCGAGAACATTGTCACCGGCAGCAATGAGAAACTGGTCCGTGTCTTCAATTTGGAGCAACCGGATGCCGAGCCGGAGCTGTATGCGGGTCATGGCGGTGCCATAAAGCGTGCGTTATTCTGCCGGGACGACAAGTGCATCATTTCGGCGGCGGATGATAAGACGGTCCGGCTGTGGGATCGCATGACCGGCATCGAGGTGCAGCGTCTGCAATTCGCCAACAATCCCAACAGTCTGGAGATCTCGCACGACAATCATGTGCTGACAATAACGCACGGCTCGACCATCAGCTTCTGGGAGATCGAGACGCTCAAAAAGCTAAAGGAGGTGAAGGTGCCGACCAACGTGGCGTCCGCCAGCCTGCACCCGGATAAGCATGTCTTTGTCTGCGGAGGCGAAGACTTTAAGATGTATAAATTCGATTATATAACAGGCAACGAAATTGGTAAGCACAACAAAACACACTACTCCGACCTGGCTAATACGTTTGTGTTCCATTCAGAATCCTTCAAGGGTCACTTTGGACCAGTGCATTCAGTGAAATTCAGTCCGGATGGCGAACTGTATGCAAGTGGCTCCGAGGATGGCACGCTGCGCCTGTGGCAGACCACGGTGGGCAAAACGTACGGCCTCTGGAAATGCACCGAGCCCAGCGAGCTGAACAACTCGCTCAGCTCGCCGCGCGAGGTGCCGGCAAACTGATGTTGGAGAAGCACAAGTCGCTGCTATACAGCGCAACAGCTGCCGCCGCCACCGCCGCCGCCGCCAACGCATCGAAAATGATTGTCATCCAATAAGTATCATCTACATTTGTAATTATATATTTCTTTTCAAAATGACTACACTAACGAATATACAAGATTCCATTGGCTCGCAGATAAATGTATGTAAAAGTGTAGAAATAAATATGGGAATCGTTTTGCTAATTAAATGTGCGTGCCTGTTGCCCAATTGTGCAGATAAATTGTCGTGAAATTCAGCATTGGTTCGCCCTGATGTATTTCGGGTCGCTGCTGCAAATGATCAAACCAGCGGGATAAATTCAGATAGTTCTCCTTATCCAACGGCGAGAGCGATTTCTATACGATATATATATTGAAATAGGTTCCAGTATTTTTGTGCATTCTTTCACAAGCACTTACCACGAGTTCACTGATGGCATAATACACCGCCAGGTCGGCTAGCGTTATGAAGTGGCCCACCAGGTAGGATTTGCTGATGAATAGCTTGTTGAAGTCGGCCAGCAGCTGCTTGGACACGTGCTTGTCCTTGGAGCCGGGCGCCACGTAGAGCACCGCGAATTCGATCCACTGGTAAACCTGTGCCTGCACCTCCTTTGTGACAATACTGTTCTGTGCCGTCTCCGATTTGGACTCACGCGCCAGACTCTCCAGTATGGTGGCAAAGCCCGACACGGTTTTGTTTTGGGCGCCAGTGCGCGTTACGACCTTGACAACAGAAATTATATTAATCACAGATATATTTACACATGTGTCCACCTTGGTGTTTTACCTGCTCTTCGTTGAGCTGAATCTTGCCGGGCGCAACGCCCAGACAGTTGGCGATTTTCTGCACCGTTGCAACGTCACACATATTAATTAATAATTGTTTTTATTTAATATAAGAAGCGCAAATAAATGTGCAAAAAATGTTGCGAGATGCGCAGCGCAGGTGTTTGCCAGGGCTGCAATTTAACCGATATCTGCAAGCTATCGATAAGTGCATTACGCTGCCTCAAAGCTATCGATAACATTTAAAATGCCGTTATGTTCATTGCGCGTGCCAATGCTTGAAATGTTATGTCATATTGCAGCAGAAATATAAACAAATTGGCCGTGGTCATCAGCAGCTGAAATATATATTAGTTATGAGCTATATTTAAAAAGAAGAGTGAGCACGTACCGCTGGAATAAGCTTATAGTCCAACTCGAAGAGGCCGCAGGCCACGTGTGCGCGCACATTTCCCTGCAGCTGGAGCGCAAAGTGATTTATGGTCTCCAGCAAATCCTCGCCAGCTGCGCTCACTTTGCTCAACAGTGCCGCACAATGGGTTTGCTGTGGAAACGAGTGCATAAATAACTTTATTTATAATTGTATTCAACAGAAAAATACCAGCTGCTGCACGTTGTGATTGAAGTAAAGTATGAAGAACATTTTGCCCGTGTGCATCAGAAGCCACAAGATCGTGTACGCCAGCCAGGGCCAGTCGGCCTTACCAGGCTTCTCAATGGCCTTATAGACGAGAAACAAGTTCGTATTGAAATTAATCAGAGAGCTCACGTACAGCAACAGCACAGAAACCCCAAAAGTCTGATTAACTCTCTTGGTGAAGTGCAGCAGTTGCGTGTGTTGCCCGCGCAGTTGCTGGAGCTCCGCACGCCGGGTCAAAGGTCCACGCTGGAGTTCCACTTGCAATGCCCTGGCCAAGCGATGCAGACGCAGCCTGATGCCCTGCAGCAGGGCATAGTAGAGCACAAAGGAAATGGAGCTCAAGATGTTGGGCAGCACATAGGTGCTCAGGTTGACCAAGGACTTGCACATCTCATAGTCGCGATGGGAGAGCACAATGGGTATGCAGCAGCTGGCAAGGATTAGCAGCAGCCACAGCTGATGACGCACAAAGCGCCGGATGCGCCGACGATCAACAATATAACCACAGGCCAAATCGAACTCTCCAATTGCTTGGAATACCCCGGCAATGCGTCGCTTCCAGCGCATGCTCAGGATCATAATGCAGGGTATGTGTATGAGATAGGTTACAGACTCGAATATGTAAAAGTTACGCTCCAGATTGTTACGATCCTGTGACCCATCCGCCAGTTCCAAGTAGGCGGCGCAGCAAAGCCAAATGTACAGGGCCAACAGCCAGACATGCTGCACTGCAGCATGGACGCGGCTCGAGCAGCGTGGAAATACAGCGAGGGGCGCACTGCCAGCCAGCACGCAGATGAGCAACAGCAGCCACAGCTCCTGATGCAGCTGCTCAGCGTTCAATTTGTACAGGTGCTGCGTTAGATTCCAGTTCCTGGGTGCGATTTATGTAACAAGCATTAGTTGGGGAGATTCTGACCGCGATGCTAATTGGACTATCGACCTTCAGATTGATGACGATGAAGTACTCTTGACGAGGAACCTTTGGTCTCAAGCTACTTTATGAGCACGTACCTTGCCCTGTTCTTACTCAGTTGCTTTCTCCACTGTCTTACTGCCGGCTGGACATCCACAGAGAGATCGAGAAATACCCTCAAGCCCACAGCCCAACCACCATCCCAGCCTACTAGTCATACCTTTGCTGCTTCCATGGCGTTGAAGATCCTTGCTGGGGCTGTGACCAGACATCTGTGAGGCGTTTCTTGCGTGACGCCTGCTTCAACTTGAGCTGCAACATGATGTTTGGGTCAAGCGCGTTTTCACGCCTTTCAATTAGCTGCAATTAGGCACATCCGGACAGCTGGCGCATCATTAATCAAACACCTTAAATGCTTTCCAATTATAATGGGCATTCAGTTTACCTGGCGTCCCACACATGAACAGTTGGAGCGATAGACGGATAGGCCTGCGCCTGCTGCTCGGCCTTAGCCGCTGGCTGGGCGTTTCCCCGCCCGGCGAACGGTTGGCATATCTACACCTGGTCTGGTCCGTGCTGCTGCTGGGCTGCGTTTGGTTCTACACGCTAAACCGTTTGATCACCATGAAGTTCTACAAGCAAGTTTTGACCATACAGAAGCTGTTTTATTTTGCCGAGTATCCGGCGAACATGTTGTTGACGGCGCTATTCTCGCTGCGGGTTTATCGCAGCGCACGATTCCATAGACAACTTTGGCTGCAGCTATGTCGCCTGCAGGCGCTGCTCTTCGAGGACGCGACTGCTGCAGCACGTCAACTCTTCGCAGGATTTGAGCAGCATGCGCTGCGGCTGCTCTGCGTGATAATTGGCTTTCATGCAGTCTGCGCTGTGGTGGACAGCGCCTGGCTGAACTTCGACTGGCGTCTGAGCGTGCCCAGTAATTGTGCCCATCAACTGCCCAGCCTGATGATCAGCCTGAGCCTGCTGCAATATGTCCTGGCACACCGACTGCTCTGCCTGTTATATGCACAGCTCAACCAGCGCCTGGCACAGCTGCGTGGGCGTCCCGTTGGCATCTGTGTCCTGGCCTTGGAGTCGCAGTCGCTGGAGCAGCTGCGCCTGGTTGCCGTCGCCTTGGATGGCGTTCAAGCTAAACTCTTGGCCCGTTTTGGACTCGTGCTGCTGCTTAGCTTTGGTAACTCGCTGCTGAGCCTCTCCTACGAGGTGTTCAATGTGTTTCGCCTGCTCGAGCTGGCGCAATTGAGCGACTGGTTGCTCTATTGCTATCGTTCCTTGTGGCTTCTGCTGCATGGCGCACGCATTTGGTTTGTGCTCAGGGCCAATGAGCGCATCGTTGAGCAGGTGAGTCGACTCCATTGATACCTAACTCCTAATAACCAACTCTTTTCCACTCCTATTGCCAGAAATGCCAGCTCTTTCTGTTGCTCAACCAGCTGGAGGCTAGCGACACGCGCCAAGAACGTTCCATTAATCGTTTTCTGCTCCAACTCCAGACTAATCAGGCCCAACCCCTGGCCGCCTGTGGGCTTGTCGACCTGGACACCCTTGCGCTGGGCGGGGTAAGTGCCGACATATTTACCCAACACAATCACAAACGCAATCTCATTTTGTTCTTTGTTTTGCGGCAGTTTGTCAATGCTTTGCTGGTCATTGTTATATTCCTGATACAAATCGATCTGGGCAATAAATCGCTCAGGGGCTTTGTCTGAAGGCGCATTCAATAAATGAAGCTTGTCCGGATTTGTTGGCATTTTATTTCGTTTGAGGATGCGCTCGCGCCTGTTACTCCTGCTGAAACGCTGCTCCGCCTGGACGCGGCACTGGCTGCTGGTCATTGGCTGCCTTCTTCTGCGGCTACTCCGCGCTGTGAGCGCTCGTCTGCGGGATGTTACGGCCCAGGCGGGCGACGAGACCAGCTTGCTGGCCATACGCCTGACGGTCAATCGCGGCCTGCACATGGCCGAGCGGTAAGCGGGTGACGACGGCTAATCTAGGCCAGAATAGGGATATCATGGATAACTGTAAGCTTAAGGCAGTAGAAGACGTCGCCAATCCTCGATCAGGATGAACTCCGCAATGATCCGGTCCTGTTGGTCTATCTATAGCTTACTCTGCTCTTCCAAAATCGATAAATATCGATTTTTTAGTCTAGTTTTTAAGCACATCTTGTATATTAGAAGAGCGACAGATTTGGGTAAACACAGCTCTGGATCTGCTTCCCTGCAGCTTACTCTGGTTCCTGGTGATCTTGGGCAGCGTCTTTGCTGTCTACATGCTCAGCGAGGTGCAGATAGCGAGGTATCTGACCTCGCCCACGGTCATCTCGGTGGATCGCGATTATCGGGGCTGGAATGGTTCGCTGCCAGCGGTTACGCTGTGCTATTATGATCACATCGATTCGTTCAAGGCCAACAAGCTGATACAGGAGGCGTGGAATGTGTCCATCATTGATGAGGACTACTTTTATATCATGGACTTTCTCTATGCGGTCGTCAATGCCACCGCCAGCAACTACGCGGAGCTCACCAAGTTTGCGAGCGACGAGCGCTTCGATCAGATTGATTTGTACGACATAATTCAGACCATTAACCGACCCTTCGAGCAGGTCATCAGCAGCTTTGATGCCAACTTCAAGGTCCATGTGCAGATGGTCATGACGGAGCGCGGCTCCTGCTATGCCATCAACTCACCCATGTCCGCGGTGCTGGGCAAGAAGTGAGTAGCAGCAGGTCATTTTAAATAAATATAACATCATGATCCCGGCAGACCCGTGCAGTACGAGCAGCTGCAGGAGCCGCTCACCTGCCAATACGGCAAGCAACAGTGCTATATAAGCATGGATCTCTACGAGAGCACGGGCGTGGTTAGTATATATGTATACATAGTCTGTGGTCTACTAAATAAAGCCTTTCCCTTCAGCTGGATGTGCACTCACCCTATGAGGTGTCCGCCACGGAGGCCAACATTGTCGCTCTGCACAAGTCGGATGAAATAACGGCCTCGTTTAAGGTGCTCGAGACGGTGTAAGTGATCCTCTCCAGCAATAGTTCTTCCATTTCTTAATAATACCTTGCAGAGCTTCGAAGAACCTGCGGGAGCTTAGCGTGGAGCAGCGCAAGTGCGTTTTCAATGACGAGGAAACCTCCAATCTCAAGGCATGTAGAGTCGATATTCGCATTCCCAATCCCTCACAGTCGGAAAACTCTCTTCCCGCAGATCTATAGCAAGTCGTTGTGCCTGGCACGCTGTCGCGCCATCATGGCGCTGGAAATGTGCAACTGTGTGCCCTTCTTCTATCCGTTTGTGGAGGGACCCAGCTGCAATCCGGCGGGCTTTGAGTGCCTGCTGGATTTTAAGTGGCCCATCTGGGCGCTGCACATTTGCAAGTGTCCATCGACCTGCACGGAAATCGAGTACACCATGCAGACGATGAAGAAGAGCTCGTGGGGCATGAAAAACAACGAGGAGGCGGCGAGCGTTGAGACGGCCACTTCAAGCTTTCGCTGGGATCTGATACCACCCAAGGTGCGCTTTCGGCGGGATGTCGTTTTCAGTTTTGAGGATCTGATTGGTAAGAGCTGCAAATAGATTTTGGGCAAACCGTTTGAAACCTGGTCTTGTTATCTTGCAGTATCCTTTGGCGGTGTTCTGGCCCTCTTTGTCGGCGTCAGCGTCATGGGTCTGGTGCAAATGGGCTATGTTATCGTCTTCAATGTTTTGCTGGACATATTTAAATTGCTGCGCTTCATCCACTTGCATTTGCGGGCACGTTGTCGCCGCCCCACCAAGCTACCCAAACATTCCATTCACAGTCAGAGCAATGTTTCAAGGGCGGAAACAGCAGAGCTGCCGTTGTTTGAATATGTTAACTAATTTTTAATGAACAGAAAAACGTTTTAGCTACACAGCAAGAGCCTACAATTAGGCGCATAATTTTTTGAATTTCGATAAAGTATCGATACTTAATATTCATCGTGTCATCATAGTCGATATATCGATGTTTTGCAATATTGTTAGCCAGCCCTGGTAGACACACGTGCGGTTAAAATATTTCTACTGTGTCGGGATTTATTTTAAACGCAAATTACAGCAGAAGTTGAGTGCATTCAAAAATAGAAATATCAAAATGAGCGGTGACGAGTCAAGTGATGGCCTGGAGGATCTGCAGGAACTGATGGCCATGTATGCCAAGCATGAACACAAACCGCCCAAAACTAGACGAAAGTTTGGCGCAGACGAAGTGGAACCAGCCTATGTGGAGGTGCCCACGGAAAAGTTGATTTTCGGCGATAAGCAAACGTTTCTATCGAACTTGGCCAAGTCGGTGGGCAAGAAACGCGCCAAGAGCGATAGCGAGAGTAAGGCGACGGCAGCTGCCGACGACGACGCGGACACAGCAGAGGAGACGGCCAAGAAACACAAACCCGCCTGGACAGACTCCGACGATGAGGACCTAGAAGTTGGTGAGGTGAAGCGACGCACGCGACACTCGGGCCCATTGACGCACTTGCGCAAAGACAAATCATACAAGGAATATTTGACGGCGCGCTTTCAACGCACCATCAACCAGCCGAAGTGGGCGTCACTGGACAAAAAGCAGGATGCAGTTGATTCAGATGAATCTGAGGAGGAACCACTGCTCAAAACTGTGGGCTTCATTGATCGCAAGGCCAAGGCGCAGGGCCTGCAGCCCAAAACATTGAACTTTAAGCGCACAAAGGATCTGAATCGCGCCACCTACAGCGAGGGCTGCGTATCGAGCATCCAATTCCATCCGACCAGCACGGCTGCACTAGTTGCCGGCGAGAGCTGCCTGGCCAGCATTTACAGCGTGGACGGGCAAAAGAACGAGAAGCTGCATAGCATGCGCTTTCAGAAGTTCCCACTGACCTGTGCCCGCATCGCGCCATGCGGCACCAAGGCCTTCTTCGGCTCGCTGAGGCCCTTCTACTATTCATATGATCTGCTGGAGGCCAAGGAAACCAAGCTGATGCTGCCCCGCAGCATACGCTACTTTCGTCGCTTTGAGGTCTCGCCCTGCGGCAAATATATCGCAGCGCCCGGCAAATTTGGCGCCATTCATTTGCTGACCAGCCACACGAACGAGCTGCTGCACAGCTTCAAGCAGGAGGGTGTGGTGCGTGGCATGTGCTTTACGGCCGATTCGCAGCGTTTGCTCTGCAGCAGTTCCGAGTGCAATGTGAACGTGTTGTCGCTGCGTCAGAACTGCATCGAGCACAGCTTCATCGACGATGGCTGCGTCAGTGGCCGGGTGCTTCAGCTAGCGCCCAATCAACGCATGCTGGCCACCGGCAGCAACGAGGGCGTGGTCAATGTGTACGACTACGAGAGCATCTACAAGTCGACCGTGCCGCAGCCGGAGAAGCGTTTCATGAATCTGCGCACTGGCATCACGGATCTACTCTTTAACCACACCTCCGAGCTGCTGGCCATGAGCTCGCGCCAGGTGCCCAATGCGCTGAAGCTGGCGCATTTTCCCAGCGCCACAGTCTACGCCAATTTCCCGGGCCAAAGCGAGCACTTGGGCCACGTGAACACCATTGCCTTCTCGCCCAACAGCGGCTACTTCGCACTGGGCTGCAGGGGCAAGAAGGCGCCCATGTTTAGACTTAAGTACTTCAAGAATTATTAATAGGGCGGACGAGCGGATGTCGACGGGTTTTATATGCCTTAAATTTATACCTTTTTATTCTACATACTCCTGTGTACGATAATAATGAATAAATTTAAATATGGAATCGCTTTTGATGCTCGCGAAAGAAGTAACCGCCGTTTCGGATCAAAAAAGCTCAATGGAGGCCACTTTTGAAATACAAGAGAATTTCTCCGGCTGCTTGAGGATTCCTCCCAAGAAACCAGCTCGTTAGGTGAACTTTAACTGCATACATACAATTGTTAATAACAAATACAAATAATTTTTTATTCAGATTTAATATGGAGCGCGAAAGATGTCGCGTTTTTGGGACTCGTGTATTTTGCCAATGTCGTCGAGCTTCTTGCAGATGTGCGTGGACTGCGATTCGATCCATTGCAGGGAGTTCATGTGCGCGTTGAGTATCTTGCCAATTTGTATGATTGGATCCGTGTTGTCCTGGCCCTTGTTGGCCTCGTTCAGATTATCAATCACCTCCTTTAGATCCTCGGACATCTGCTTAAGCTGCGTATCCAGATTCTCGACCATCAGATAGGTCTGACTGCGTTCCTGATCCACGCGCGGCAAGCTTGTGAATTCCTTCTCCAGCGGCGCCAGACTCTCCTCCAGTTCCTTGTGCTGCGTGGCAATGAATTCCAGCTCCTGATCGAGCACCTGTTGATCATTCTTCACCTTTTGCACAGCATCATTCAGCTCGATGATCTTCTGATTGTTGCCAATGAGCAGTTTGTCCCAGGCGTTTATCTGTGTTGCCTGCTCGGTGAAGACCTTCTCCTGCTCCTCAAACTCCAGCGTCCACTTGTTGATGTGCTCCTCGAGCTGATTGTACGACAATTGTGTAGCATTTGCAACCGTTGACGAATCTGTAGTCTTAGTCGCTGTGGACAAGTTTGCAAAAGTGCCAGCTCCAGCGGCAGGTGCTGCGCCAGCGAGTGAGGCTACAGGGGCGGCTGCGACCGGTGCAATGGCTGTTGTGCTTTTGGGTGTCGTGGTCAGTCCCAGTGAGAGGCCGCCGCCGCCGCCAAGTGGATTGGCTGTTGTGGCTGCTGCTGTTGTTGTGGTGACAGACCCCGCCGCTGGCTGGGCCAAAAATCCCCCAAAGGCGGGAGCTGTTGCAGCGGCTGGTGCTGCTGCACCCACTGCTGTTGACGCAGCGGATGCGCCGAGTCCACCGCCACCTAAGCCCGTGAGTGGATTTGACAGGCCTGGTGCCGATTGTGTTACCGACAAGCCGAAGCCGCCAAACGGTGGCGGCGCTGCCGATTTTGTGGCGTCCGCATCGCCGCCACCTGCATTAGCCGCTTGCGATGGTGCGGCAAATGAAAATGTGGCCGGTTTGGCGGGAACTGCGGCGCCGGTATTAGCAGTCGCTGGTGCGGTGTTCAAGCCGAACGAAAAGCTGGGCGCGCTCGCTGCAGTTGTCGTGGGCAATTGGAATGCCATTTTTCTACGCGTCAAATAGGCAAATAAAATAAATTAATAAAATTTAATGAACAAGCAATGCAGCTTGTGTTTTACGATGACACGTTATCGATAATTCTGTGCCGCTGAGTAGTGCTGTAAAACGCATAGTAGGCTTTTGGTATTTTTTAGCGCATGTTCTACATGAATTAACAATAACAAATCCAATCGCAAATTAAACCGCCCGCGCAAATATCCGCTTACAAAAGTTAATTAAAAAGCTGCATAGCATAATTTTATATTGGGATTTGCAATGTACGTGTCTAATTATGTTTGCATGTTTCGACTTGTCAATACGAATGAGATATGTTTTTATCTTTAAGTGCTTGATAAAATGCCATTTGGGTCAAGACTTTAATAACAGTTTTTCTGTTTTTCAATTACGAACACTCGAGTTCCATTACTTCCCAATGGGAGTCAGCCGCCATAATGCAACATACAGTTATTTAACTATGAGTGTGAGTGTGTGTGTGTGACAAAAGCGACTAAATTGTACTACAAAACTAAACGCAAAGCAATATAAAAGTTATTGTAAATTAATTTTTAAATGAATGAATTATGAATAGATAGATGCACTATAACAGATAAGTGCACTTTTTATTTTTAGCAATCTTGCCACAATAATGAAATAGAAGCAACGAACTTATGTTGTTTAGTGTAAGTGGGCAAAACTAGGCATCGTGATAACCTGCAACGCTTGAGCGCCTGAACTTGCGCACACTAGCGCTGATAAGGAGCCTTCCAACAAAGGCTGTCTCCCTGCTGTGCTCGACTGCTGTGAACGGAGTGCGTTCAGTCAATGTGTGTACTCTGCAATTACAGTTAACAATTGCCACTTGCTGTTTGCGCAAGGTAAACGAACAGGTAACAATTTATCTATAGATTCTCACTGCCACAAGGCACTCTACGCCCAACTATAAAACCGTAAACGTGCCCTGGACAGGACGCATTCCCTGCACACAGCTCGGCGAAGCATGTACAGCATGTTGAACATTGTGGCCGCATTTGTGTTCTTATTGCTGCAGTTGCTCCAAGGTGGTACAGCGCTGGACAATGGCCTGGCACTCAAGTAAGGGAATTGAAAAGTAAAATTTAAATTTCTTGCGCTAAGTGAATCCTTTGCTACAGGCCACCCATGGGCTGGATGTCCTGGCAGCGCTTTCGCTGCATAACCGACTGCAAAACTTATCCCGACGAATGCATAAGGTATATAATCATAGACAACTGGCAGATGTTATTCGGCTTTTTTGTTATAGCGAGCAGTTGTTCCGGCGTCACGCGGATTTAATTGTCTCCGAGGGCTATGCTGATGTTGGCTACGAGTATGTCATCATTGACGATTGTTGGCTGGAGAAGAATCGGGATAACAAGACAAATAAACTTGTGCCGGATCGCAAGCGTTTTCCCAATGGCTTGAACGTGCTGGCCGATCATGTGAGTAAACGCATCCAGCCTGAACAAGTCTTCTAGTCATGTATTACTTTTCAGATACACGAACGAGGACTCAAGTTTGGTTTGTACCAGGACTTTGGCACAAATACGTGTGCCGGCTATCCGGGCGTCATCAATCACATGGCACTCGACGCGGCAACATTTGCCAATTGGGATGTTGACTATGTCAAGTTGGACGGCTGCTATGCGAACATAAGCGACATGGCTGCCGGTTATCCAGAATTCGGACGCCTGCTTAATTCGACAGGCAGGCCCATGGTCTACTCCTGCAGCTGGTGAGAGGCACTATCCCTATACATATATATTTGTTTGTTAACTGA